CCCAAAATGCTTTTTTTAGAAGGCCCCTGGACTTCCTTGTTTTTCTCTGAAGATGTTTTGCTTCTCATCCAGGAAGCTTCTTCAGGTTCTGACTGAATGGTGGGGAATGGGAGGATTTATACTCCTTGCAGACAGCCGGTCATTTGCATCCTTTTTAGAGAGTCGTTGAGACCACTTGGAGGTTTCCCTGTGTCCTCGGGGTCAGCTGAGTGGTGCAAATGGGCGTGGGGCCTTCTTGGGACTGCTGAAAGAAGCCCCCACACCCATTTGCACTCCTCAGGTGACCCCGAGGACACAGGTAAAGCTCCAAGTGGCCTCAAGGATTCTCTAGAAGGAGGCAAATGACCGGCTGTCTGCATGGCGTATAAATCCTCCCATTCCCCTTGAAGACGTTTCACTTCTCATCCCAAGAAGCTTCTTCGGCTCTGACTGGATGGTTGGAAATGGGAGGATTTGTACTCCTTGCAGACAGCTGGTCATCTGCCTTCTTTTAGAGAGTCATTGAGGCCACTTGGAGGTTTAACTGTGTCCTCAGGGTCACCTGAACGGTGCAAGTGTGTGTGTGGAGCCTTCTTGGGACTGCCGAAAGGACGTTGTTGTGTAGCTGTGCTTGTGCTGCAGGATGTTTTCGGCCCTGTGTCCCTTGACTGCCGAACACAGGTGCAGGCTGTTGAGGGGGTGAGTCTGTGTTGTCTGCGTCTCCAACCGGAGTGCAAATGGACACAGGCAAACCTCCAAGTGGCCTCAACGGCCCTCTAAAAAGGATGCAAACGACCAGCTGTCTGCAAGGAGTATAAATCCTTCCATTTCCCCATCATTCGGTCAGAACCCGAAGAAGCTTCCTGGATGAGAAGCGAAAGGTCTTCAAAGAAAAAAACAACGTGAAAGTCCACCTTTGGGTTTCCTTGAAGACAATTTCCCTTCTCGTCCCGGAAGCTTCTTCAGCTCTGAAGGAGGAAAGGAAAAACCAAGCCCAAAGTCCACTAAGGAACTAAGGAGAAACTTCCTGATAGTCAGAACAATTAACCAGTGGAACTCCTTGCCTCCAGAAGCAGTGAATGCTCCAACACTGGAAGTTTTTAAGAAGAGACTGGACAGCCATTTGTCCTGAAATGGTATATAGGGTTTCCTGCTTGAGCAGGGGGCTGGACTAGATGACCTCTAAGGTCCCTTCTGACTTTATTATTATTATTATTAACAACCTGCCTCCAGAAGCGGTGAATGCTCCATCACTGGAGGTTTTTAAGAAGAGACTGGACAGCCATTTGTCTGAAAGGGTATAGGGGTTCCTGCCTGAGCAGGGGGTTGGACTAGATGACCTCCAAGGTCCCTTCCAACTTTATTATTACTATTACTATTTTACTTGCCTTTTGAAAAAAATATTTTTGCGGTGGAGATGGCTGTCCTTATTTGCCCCATATGCCAGTTGCCAAAGGGGGAAGCGTGAAGCTGGGGGGGGGGGGGGGGGGGGGGGGGGGGGGGG